CCTCGCTCAGCCAGTGAGCGGGAACCGGTCTGTATGTGGGATCCGAACCCTCGGCGGGAGCGCCGCCGCACTCCCAAGCGGCACACTGTAGCAGTGCGCCACCAGGCCGGCCCGACTGGTCATCTTTTGAAAAAAAAAAGTAAAAGAAAGAAAAAAAAAAAAAAAAACAGGCCTGTGGGTCCCCTTGCTTTGTTTCTCTGGGCTTACGTACACGCTGTTCCTTCTGCCTTGGGTGATGAATCTCATTGGGATTTTCTCCCCCAGAAGCCTTCCCTCACACCCCCTCCTGAGTCAGTGGTCCCGATCTGTGCTTCCCAGGTTCCCCCCAGTCCCTCCATCCAAGCATCCATCTCACTGTATTATGTGCCCTGCCTTGCCTCAGTCCCATGGGGTCTGAGCACCTCTCCTGGGCTTCAAAAGGTACCTGGGGTGGGGCTGAGGAAGCCACACCCATCCTGGCAGCTGAAGTGGAGGCACCAGTTGGGGTGTGTTTTTGTGGGGAGTCCCAGCTGTGATGTCGGGCCTGATAGAACCTAGGCTCTGTCTGGCACTTTCAGGCTGGGGGAAGAAGCACTGCACCCCCAGGGACCCCAGGGAGAGATGGCCTCAGGAACTGCCTCCTACTGGGCTGCCTGGTGGCCTTACCCGTGGTGGTGAGGATGCTGGCAGTGAAGAGTAGGGTGGAGGGCAGATCCCAGTTCCTGACTTCTGAGCCATTGCCCAGGCTAGAGACCCCGTGGGCCTGGGCTGCCAGAGCAGCGCCCAGCAGCTCCTCCAGTGCTCCGGGTGGCAGGCAGGCCCCATACTCTGCCTGAAAGGTAGCCAGCTCAGCCCTGAGCTCAGCCCAGAGTTGGAGTGCTGGAGGCCCCTCCAGGGCCTGGAGCACCATAGCCCCAAGCCCCAGGGCCAGCAGGTAGGCCACGACCAGAAGCCCATATCGGGCCCAGGGCCTTAGACCCCCCATAGCGAGCTGCCCAAGTCCAGGGTGCTGTGGGAACTGGCTGCTCCACTGCAGGCACCTGGGAGGGGCTGGCCAGGGCTGGGAGGAGGTGCTGCGTGAGTGGTTGGGACACAGCTGGGGTGAGCATGAATGGGAGGGAGGTGACCTGGATCACTCCTCCCAGTTTCTGGGGACAAGACATTATCTGCCCATTTCACGGCAGCTGGGATGGTGGGCATGGGCTGGAGAGGCGGCTGTGGGGAGGGCCTGCGGGGCCTCAGGCTCACTCAAGGTCATGCTCACTCAGTCACACATACCCTGTTCATCCGTTCAACAAGTGCTCAGGTCCTGAGGACACTAGAGAAGAGGACACACACAGGTTCCTTCCCTCCTGGTGTTCACACAAGAAACCATGCAAAGAAACAGGACGTCTTCACATCATCCTAAGTTCCATGAAAGAAACGCCCTGGGTAATGGGGGAATTCTAGGGGAGGGACTCTCACTGGGAAAGCCCCTCTAAGGAGATGCCATTTCAGCTGGCGAGCAAGAAGGGGCCCATCCTGGTGGGAGAGAGCTTGGGGTGTGGGAGGAATAGGGGGCGGCCGTGGCGGGGGTAAGGACAGGGCCTTGAGGACAAGGAGACCTATGGGGGCTACTGCAGGCATCCTGGATGGCACAGTGGACGCCTGGGCAGTGGAGTGACAGGGGAGTGGTGGGATTTGGGCTCGATCAGGTGGGGCAGGTGGTGAGGTAGCGAGAGGACTCAAGGATCCCCGGAGCGCCGTGGACAGACAAAGCTCTCAAGCCTCCATTCCTGCCCTCCTGACTCCCTGCCCTGGCGAACGGCAGACACGGCCTGGCTGCCACGGAGTGCTGGGGAGGAGGGCCGGGGGAGAGCCTGGGCTACCACCCGCATAAACCGTGGAACAGCTGAGCCCCAGAGACCGAGAGGGAACCCAGCCTGGGGCACAGACCCCCACAGCAGTGTTGAGAGGACTGTCAGTGGCACCAGCTGCCAAGTGGGTCACCACACTGGCAGGTGGGAGGAGCTTATTCCTCATGTGTCCAGACCGTGGAATAGGGACAAACCCAGGGGAAACCCTCAAGATGCCGCACACAGGGCTGTGGACTCCTGAGTTCACAGATCTGCCTGGGGTGGGGCCAGCTGGGCAGGGAAGGCATCCTGGGGAGGTGATGTTGCAGCTGGGCCCAGAGAATAAGCAGGATCACCCAGCAACAGGGAGGACCAAGGTGATTACAGTCACTGGAATGGCAGGCATGGCTTGTGCAAAGGCGTGGAGAGGGGAAAACTTGGCAAGTTAAGGGAGGTGATAAGTGATGCCAGCATGTATGGGTGTCGGGGAAGCTGAGAAGGACCTTGAATGACTGACCGAGGCTGGTAGGACTTGGTCCCAGGAGAGGGGCATGGTGCAAGGCATCCCGGCCTAGACCCACTGTGCTTGGGGCATGAGGACACCAGGGCTGCATGACAGGATGGGTGTCCTGGTTACCTCCAAAAAAGGTAACAGGCTGCATTTGGGGAGACAGCTTACGAGTTTATTTGGCTTCATTGGATCCCGAGGCTAAGGCCCTAACCCTGGCTGGGGCAGCAGGAAGGCACCCAGAGGACCCTGACCCCAGATGACCCCAGGGCAGGGGGTCCAGGCACTAAGCCCTGGGGCAGGGGCCACAGTAGCAGGACTTGGTCAAAAGTGCTGGTGACAGCTGAAGCCGGCCCCTCTCTCCTGCACCTCCCCTCCTCCCTGCACCACCCCTGGGGGCAATTCCCTGAGACATGCTCTGGTCCTCCCAACCAGCTGGGTACAGTGTCAGGCCCCAGTGGGGCAGGTAAGTCAGGAGGACTTACAGGTTGCAGGTGTGGGGGCGCAGACCCCCCATCCAGTGTGAAGGCTTCCTGTGCAGTGTAGTGTTCCTTACCCCCAAAAGGGGTGGGGTCCCTGGGGGAAACCGAGGCAGCTATAGAGCCTTGCCTGGCTCCTGTTCCAGTGTATGCTGTGGCTCCTCTAAGGCAGCTGGAGCATGAGGGAGTGGCCTGGCCCATTCAAGGCCCTGCCTCTGGTGCCCATGGGGCCTGGGCGCCCATGTCTTTGGTCTGCGCCCTGCAGTCCTGGGGGCCTCCCCGGAAGGGGTTGGCAGGTGGGGAGTCCCAGAAGGGGTCTGAGTCTGGAAACAAGGTCCAGGGTGCCCGGCGGGGCACAGGCTGTGGCGAGGGCAGGGGTGAAGGCCGTGGCCCAGCTGACACGAAGCTCCATGGGTCGATGCGGCTGCGAAGGGGTGAGGGCCGCGGTCGGCTGATGAGACCCAGGGGTGGTGAGCGTGGGGTGCCTGGGGTGCCAGGAGCAGAGCGTGATATTCCCGGCGGGGGTGAGACAGTGCCTCCTGTGAGGGTGTAGGAAGGGCACAGGGTCAGGCAGGCACCAACTCCTGGGTGTCCCCAGGAGGGAGTGCCCTGCTCTGGGCCTCAGTTTCCCCATCTGCACAGAAAGCACCTGACTCATAACTTCCTTGGCTCTTTATGTTCCAGAGTGCATCTGTTGTTATACAGTGATGAAGAGTGAGGCCTCTGGAGCAGACCAGCCTGGACTTGGATCCCAACCCTGTCACTCACTAGTTGTGGGAGCCATGAGTCCCTTAAACTCTGTGCCTTAAATGTCCTCATCTAAAAAATGGGTATCACGAGAGTACTCAGTTCACAGGTTATGGTAATTAGATGACACAATCTCTCTAAAGCACAGTGAACAGTACCCACACAACTGACACGAGGAAGAGTTTGCCACCGTCGCGTCATTATTATTTCTATTACTCCACAACTGGCCCCCCACCGCACAACCCAGCCCACTGGGTGGCTGAACTTAGAACCTGGCTCCCTACAGGCAGAATCCCCAGCGCCCAAGGGCCAGGTCTGGGATCCAGCAGACACCTGTGGTTCTGACCTCGTCCCCTCGCATGTCCCCACCTGCCGCTCCTCCCTTCTCTGGTGGCCCTGTCGTCGCTGCATCTGCGCAACAGGCCGGCCTTCTGGTGTCACTGAAAGTCAGAGGCTCAGAGGCATGCCTCAAAAGGCCCAGCTTCTTGGAAATCTGACACCTGCAGCTCTGGTGTCCAGGGTGGGGTGAGGAGGTGTCATCCAGTGGGGAGCCTGGGCAGCTGGCCCTCTGTGGAGCCACTCCCTGGCTTCTCCTGCCCTCCACCTGCCCACGGCCCTTCCCAGGACAGGAAATACATCCAGAAAGCTCAGTCCTACCTCTGGAAGGCCCAGCAGGAAGTGTCAGAGGCAGGGTGTGGCCCTGAGGCTATTGGCTGTCAGACCCCAGCCCTCTCCCCTCTGCTGGTTTCTTTCTTGTCCCTGCTGAAGCAGCCTCATTGTTCCTAGGTGAGGCCTCAAACTTTGTGTCCCTGCAGAGCACTCAAATCCCCCAGGCAGAGCAGAAGCTACCCTCCAACACTCAAGCCCGGCCGTGGTTTGAGGTTCTATTTAGCTCCAGCCAGTCTCCTCCTTTAGGGTCTGCTCAGGTTTTCCACCTCTACCCCCTAGCTGGGGAGCTGGCGCTCCTCGAAGGACACCTCGCTATGACTGTGCCACTTCCACTAACCTGCCACTAGGGTTTGAGCTGCTTCTGAAGGCATCACGTTAAGATGAGGTCATCCTGGTTTAGGGTGGTCCAGGATGACTGGTGTCCCTACAAGAAGAGGAGAGACACACAAAAGAAATGCCATGGGATGATGGAGGCAGAGAGGTTGGAGGGAGCCGTCTACAAGCCAAGGGTTGTCAGCAGCCCCTAAAGCTTGGGGAGAGAGGCATGAGACAGTCTCCCTCCGAGACACAAGCAACCAGCCCTGCCAACGCATTAATTTCAGACTTTTTGCCTCCAGAACTGTGAGGGAATAAATGTCAGGTGTTCTAGGCCCTACAGGTTGTGGTCATTTGTTACAGCCCCCCCAGGACACTAACACGCCTGCTTAGGGCATAGCTCGAGCGTTCTCCAGGTGAGGGCCCCAAGGACCCCTCGGTGGCCTTGGAACAAGGAGGGACTGAGTTCTGCTCCCCACCCGCAGCTTCCCTGGTTCCATGCTCCCCCAGCCCAGCTCCTTCCCCAGCACACACACACACACACACACACACTCTCTCTCCAGCCTTTCACAAGACCGAGGTTGTGGGGAGGGCAGTACAGGCGAGGAACTAGCAGGAGCAAGGCCTGGGAGGCAGGTGGGCGCCCTGCAGCCCAGAGACGGCAGGAAGTGGGGGTCCGAGAGAGGCTGAGGCCAGATCACAGTGGGCCTCAGTGGTCAGCCAGGGGCAACCTGTAGGCCCGGGGGCAGGCTGGACCCACGGACCAGGACCAGCACCCTGTGCTCTGTGTCCACCCCCTCCCCAGCTTGGCAGCCCTGGCCCTTCTGCCCACCTGTCCCCCAGTCTAGCTGTAGCTTGTATGGAGAATGCAGGTCAACTCCAATGCACACAAGAGCCCCACCCAAGGGGCACACATAACTGTCCCTACTCCACAAACAAGGAGACTGAGGCTCAGGGAGGTCAGTGCCTTGCCCAAGCTGAATGATTTGGGGGCATTATGTTGTCTGATCTTCATGCTCCAGGTCCAGACTCAGAGAAGACAAACGCTTGCTATGCAGCTGGTGGAGCCAGTCCCACACCATGCAGGGACAGCAGAGTCTCTTCTTTCCAGTACTTCCCAAACAGACTCTACCCTACAGTTCAAGACATCAGTGTCCTCCGTTTGGGCCTAGGGTTGGCCTGACTCTGTTCTAGACCACCTGGGGTAGGGCTGGAGAACCCATCATTAAGGAGGACATAGGGTCTAGGATGGCCTCCCACAAGCCCCGATTTTGTCAGGTCCCTCCCTGGCTCTAGAGCCTGCCATGGCTCTCCATTGCCACCAGAAGAAATTCCAGCCTCCTTGGCTGGGCTTTGAAAGCCCTCTCTGGCCTTGCCCTTTCTGCTCTGCCCTGCCCTCCCCTCCTTGAGCCAGGCATGGAGTGGACCTTCCTGGAGCAGAGCACCAGGCTGGATGTCAGGAGGAAGACGTGCAAGGCTGGGAAAAGTGAGCATCTACTGCAAACCAGGACTTGGCTGGGAGTCCCTGCTCTCAGCCATACCCTTCCTTAATCTCTCTTCCTCTTCTTTTTGCCTCTCTTCCCCAATCCCCTTGCCCACTGCCATGCAAGGGCCCAGAGAATCCTTCTAAAGTGGAAACCTGCTAAAGACAGGTCTCTGCTTAAAAACTCCCCATCATTTCCAGGCCCTTCCTGAATTGACTCCTGGCTATTTTCCAGCTTCAGTCACACATTCACTCAACAAACACCCGCTGGCCCATGTGCAAGTGGATGCAGGTCTGGCCCCTTCACACCACCTCAGGCCTGAGACTCCCTGGCTGTCGACTCATCTCTGAGTTGAGATGAGCCAGGTTTCCTCTTCCTCAGGTTTGGTGCGCCCCATGCCTGCATACACACTATTCCCTCTACCCAGCACACCTTTCCCACCTTAGCTTTTGGTGACCTCTTATTCACCATCCAAGACCACCTGAGATGTCACCTCTGTGAAGCTTCCCCAGAATCCCCCCCAGCCCTCTACAGTTACTGTTCATGCTATGCTTTATACAGCTGTCGTCCCCAGGACTTATTAGTCTCTACTGTACTTATTTATGAGTCTGCCTCCTCCACCAGACTAGGATGTAGGTCAGGGAAGCGTTGACCTCTAACACGTTGATGCCTGGCTCATCAAGTACATCAATACATGTTTGGTAGAAGAATCCATTCTTATAATCTTTACTCCAACCACAGTGATTGTTACTACCCATTTCATAGGTGAAGACACTGATCATTTACAGTGAGTTTAAGGAGAGCAGGGGAAAAGCAAGTTTAAAATAAGTGAGAGAAGTAAACTGAAGTAAAGACGGAGGTGAGCACACAAAGGGAGAGTGAACAGAGACTCTTGCAGTCAATGGCCCAAGAAACTGAGGTTCTGAGAGGTAAGTGACTTTCCCAAGGTAATTTGACTAGGATTTTAACTTGCCTCTAGGCTTCCTGGCAGTAAGAGCTGGCCACCCTTTTGTTTAGGAGAAAGCAGCATGACCATTCTTGACCCAGAAATGAAGGTGAAATTGCTTCCAAGGGGCCTCATGGAGAGGACATGGCCACAGGGTCGTTAGTGGCTCTAGTGCAACAAGCTTCACAGGGCAGAGTCTGCAGTGTAGGCTGAATGCACCCCAACAACGTGCAACTTGCTGCAACCAGTTGTCCAGGGGCTAGAATGTCCAGCTGGGGAAAGGGTGGGTGGGTGATGTGGCTCCCCAATGGTGTGGCTTATGCCTGGGACAATCTCACAGGGTCTGGGACCTCCATGAAGCCCCATTCTTTGACTCTCGGCCAGACTTCTGACTCTGGGCAGTTGGGATGTTAAGGTCATGTATATTCTTATGGGCCCAGATGGTGGCTGGAGTGTGGGCTTGGGCTAGGAGAACCAAGTGCTTAGTGAGAGACTGGGCTGGGGCAGGTGATGCCCTTTCAGGTAAAGGGGCAAGCTGGAGAAGGAGGGGGTTTGGGCCCTTGTGTCCCTGCCCCTGGGAGCTAAGAGAGGGCAGGGCAAAGGGCTCTGCAGAACACGGTCAGGGGCTGACCTACACACAACTAGATTGACAGGACCCCAAGTTCTTCGTTGACCCTTCTGACCTGGTGCATTCTAGAGCAGGTGAATCCAAGCAGCCCGCTGGCCTTCCAATTCTCAGTTCAGTCCCTGCAGCACAGCCAGCTTGGGGCAATGCAACTGCTGGAGCACAAAATAGTGGGCAGACAGGGGTCCAGGCCCCACCTCTTGAGCCTGACAGCCCTGGGCTCAAATTCCTGCTTTGCTGGGTGACGTACATCAAACCACTTAACCTCTCTCTGCCTCAGGTTCTTCCTCTGTAAAATGGAGCTAATAATAATACCCACCTCACAGAAATGTCTGGCACATAAGAGAGACCCAATAAATGTTAGCTGTTGTTACGACTACTAAACATAGCTCAGGTAATGGTGAAAGTGATGGACTGGGTGGGCTGGGAGGAGTGAGTCTCATTGCTGCACAAGACTCTGGTCTAAGAGCAGCAGGTAGGGCTGGGGACTCTGAAGATGGTCCCTGGGTTGGCACAGGGACCCCAGGCAAGGGGCCTGCAACTTTCTAGGCCCTGCTGAGGCTGGGCATTGTTGAGCTGAGCCCTCATCCCTCTGATGCTGGAGCGCCGATCTCTGCTTGACCTTCTAGCTTCCTAAGTCGTTTGTCCAAGAGGAACCTTTTCTTCAAGGGAAAGCTTCCAAGGAAGCTTGCTACAAGCATGGGTTGCCAAACTCTCTGGATTCCAATCCTTAGCTGGGGGTTTTAGGTAGGTTACTTCATCTCTCAAAGCCTCAGTTTCCTTATCTCTCTCTTTTTTTTTTTTTTAAAGATGACCGGTAAGGGGATCTCAACTCTTTTTTATTTTCCTTTTTTTTTTGGGGTCTTTTGTCTTTTTCCGTGTCCGGCAACGGATTGCAACCCTCAGTGTTGCCCCCGTACCGGACGGGGGACCGGCAACGGGATCGCAACCCCCGGCGCTGCCCCCGCGCCTCGCTCAGCCAGTGAGCGGGAACCGGTCTGTATGTGGGAGCCGAACCGTCGGGCGGGAGCGCCGCCGCGCTTCCCAAGCAGCGCACTATCCAGTGCGCCACCGGGCCGGCCCCCTTTTTTTTTTTTAAAAGATGACCGGTAAGGGGATCTCAACTCTTTTTTATTTTCCTTTTTTTTTGGGGGTCTTTTGTCTTTTCCCGTGTCCGGCAACGGATAGCAACCCTCAGTGTTGCCCCCGTACCGGACGGGGGACCGGCAACGGGATCGCAACCCCCGGCGCTGCCCCCGCGCCTCGCTCAGCCAGTGAGCGGGAACCGGTCTGTATGTGGGAGCCGAACCGTCGGGCGGGAGCGCCGCCGCGCTTCCCAAGCAGCGCACTATCCAGTGCGCCACCGGGCCGGCCCCCTTTTTTTTTTTTAAAAGATGACCGGTAAGGGGATCTTAACCCTTGACTTGGTGTTGTCAGCACCATGCTCACCCATTGAGCTAACCGGCCATCCCTATATGGGATCCGAACCCGTGGCCTTGGTGTTATCAGCACCGCACTCTCCCGAGTGAGCCACGGGCCGGCCCAGGATCTCAACTCTTGACTTGGTGTTTTCAGCAGCACGCTCTCCCAAGTGAGCCACAGACCAGCCCCTCAGTTTCATTATCTCTAAAACGGGGATGATAATAATAGCACTTCCCTCAGATAGTTGTTGCATAGATGGAACGCCTGGCACACAGTAGGGGCTGTTATCATCAGGGAGAACAGAAAAGCCCCAAACTACCCCAGATGCAGTGAGAATAGGCCCTGGATCCCTGCCTGTTCACCCTTCTTGTCCTCTTCTCCACCTACAGGCTCCCCAGAAAGGACTCTGAGAGGCACAGTGTGGCAGCCACTTGTCTGGCTCCACCCCACATGGGCAGTTTCCTTCCCCTCTCTGGGCCCAGCTTCCCTTGGGTACCAATGGAGGGTACCATTCCCTGTCTTTCTTTCCTCTTCTGAGCCTGCTGAGGGCACAGGGCTGCCACAAGGCCAGGAAAGAGAGTCCCCTTTCAGGCCGGGTCTGAAGAGGAGGACTAGACTCTGGGTCCCTGAGGCCTGGGCTGTATCCAGCTTGGTTATGGGCCTGTAGGTCAGACCTAGGTTGTAGGACTGGCTCTGTCCTGTCTCAGCCTCAGTTCCCTAGTCTCTTGAATGAGAGCTATCAGGGCAGGATTCTTGCTCTGCCTGCTGGCTTCTCATGACCTCCCTGCGGTGCCCAAAGAAGAGGTTCTGCAAAATCCTGCTTGGGGGAGGCAAGGTCACTCACCGTTGAGTGTTGGGGTTGTGGAAGGAGATCCTAAGGGGGATGAATCATCTGAATCCAGGTACCACGTGGCTTCGTCCATGCGGGACCTTCTCCTGGTGAGGGGAGGGTAAATGAGGGGTACTTTGTGAGTCTCAGGACTGCGGAGGGCAGATGATGCTGGGGTGGGGGCACTTGGACACTCACCTCCCATTCTGGGCTTCTCCAGGCTTGGGGGAACTGGGACCCCAGGCCCAGCAGGCACGCCGCTCTCCATTGCTTGAGTCTTCCAGTCTTCGGGGGGACTGGCGGCCCCATGTCTGGCCCTGCTCTGCAGGCTCCACTGTGGTCGGTAAACCAAGGGAGTCTGAGTTGATCTTTGTACTCCCCCCAACATGACTGCCAGGCTTCAGGGGCAATTCTTAGAGGGTGGGAGCAGGTTGGGCCCCATACCATTCCCAGGGTGGGCTTTGGGTGAGATGGGTGGGTTTGGGCCCTGGGACCAGCAGTAGGGTGGGGCATCTCATCTAGTTCTTCTGCTGACATTTGCTACTTTGTAGTTAGTACAGACACTGACACCAACTGCTGGGTTTGAATTCTGGCTCTGCCATTTATTCACTGTGTGGCAAGAGACTTTTTTCATCTATAGAACTTAGACAATAATAGCGATAACTATGCAATAAAACTATCGGGAGGAATCGGGAGGAATTAAGTTAACGTTAGCAAAGCACTTAGGGAAATGAATAATATGTAGTATCGTACAACTGTTCGACTAAAAAATAAGTACAATAAATGCTGCTTGGGGAATCAGAGGTAACAGTCTAGATCGACAGGGGAGGGAGCCTGGGGCAGGGAGGAGGAGGAGACAGCGGGTGGGATCCACTCCAAGGAGAAGGTTTGACAGAGGATTAGGGGCTGGAGGGAAGGACACAAGGAGGTGAGGTTTCTTACACTGGATGGCCCGGAACCGGGGGAAGGTGGGCGAATCCCCAGCCCCGACCTCGAAGACGTTTCTCCTCCGGTCAAGGCCAGGTGAGGCCTGCACGGTGATGCGGTGCTTGAAGTCTTGGGGGATGGGTGGGGGGAGAGCAGGTGCAGGTTTGTAGTGGAGAGCCACGACCCCAACCCCCAGGGGCCCTCGGCTGGTTTTCTGGCCACGTAGGCAGTGACCCGGTGGCTGTGTGACTGGGGCCAGCCTCACTGCCTTTCTGAGCCCCAGGTTCTCATAAGGAAAGCCCAGCCGCGGGACTCGCCCACCTGGAGAAGCGCGGCAGAGTCGGAACTTGCGGAGCGCCGGCCCCGCCCCCCCCCCCGCGCAGCCAATGGCGGGGCGGAGTCCTGGGCCCG